CGCAGTTTGCGCAGGTGCGAGGCCAGCCGTGCGCGCAGCTCCTCGGTGCTCTGGCCCAGCATGGCCTGCATCTCGCTGCTGTACTCGGTCAGGCGGCTTCGCACCTCCTCCATGTCCGCCCCGAGCCGCGCCTGCGCCGCCTGCAGCTCCTTGGACAGCCGGGCCTTCGTGTCCTCCGCCATCGGTCCTAGTTCCCGCTCCAGCTCCGACTTGTAGGCCTTCACCTCCTTCATGGTGTTCTCTATCATCGACCTGTGGCCCGGAGAGGCAGGCCTGGGTCAAGGGGACCCAGAGGTCTAGAAGGGTGGGGAGAGGCCCGGAGAGGAGACAGAGGTGCAGAAGCAGAGAGAACCAGAGAGGTAAAGATACCGGATAGAAGTCAGGTGTGGTGGAGCACACCTGTGATCCCAGCACTTTGGAAGGCTGAGGCAGGAGGATTCCAGAGTGTGAGTTTCGGCCCCGCCAGGGCAATTTAGACATGTCAAAATAAAAGGCGGGTGAGGCTGGGGTGTAGTTCAGCGTTTGCCTAGAGCTGGAGGAAGTGGGTTTAATCCTGAAAGCTGAGGATGGAGCTCAGTGCAAAGGCCCAGGGTTCAATCCTCAGTACCAGAGAAAGGAAGAGGGAGGAAGAAAGGGACTGAGACACAGACCTGCCCGCCCCAGACGGTGACAAGGAAGAGAAAGCAGAGCGGGGGAGGCCCAGGGGCACCGTCCACCGCCAGGCACTCACGTCAGCTCCTGGGTGACCTGAGAGTTGAGCACTTCCTTCTGCACCTGGTCAGACAGCGTCTGCACCCAGCGCAGGTAATCCCAGAAGCGGCCCAAGGTCTGCTCCCAAGACGGTCCACTCTGCCACAAGGCTGGCTCCTGCACCTCGGGCCCCGGCTGCACATCCGCCCGGCATCCTGAGCAGGGAAAGTTCAAGGCTGGCTCAGGGTCCCTGGGTACCTCCTGCCCACAGGACTCTGCGCTCTCCAAATTCCCTTCGGCCTCTCTGGGGCCTTAGTGGGCAGGGAGGAGTGGAGTGTATTTAATCTCTTGTCAAGTGTGCATTTTTGTTTTGTTTTGCTTTGTTTGGGGACAGGGTCTCTTGATGTGTGGTCCAGGTGGGCCTTGACTCACTATGTAGCTCAGGCTGACCTCAAACTCAGCGATCCTCCCGCCTCAGCCTCCCGAGTGCTGGGATTACAGGAGTGCACTACCACGCCCCGCAAGCATATACTGTCTTCCCGTGCCCCATGCAGTACTATGTCTGGTGACAATAAAAACCCACTACCGCTGACACTTGCAGGTCCTCGCTACCCATTGGACCACAGAGCCTTAGGACATGCTAACAACATGGATAAAGGCAATAATACTGGTGGGGACAGCAGTCCCAGAGAGACTAAAACAGCTGCTCAGAGGTGATGAAAGTGGGGAGCCTCAGTCTTAGGCCTCCCTCTTCTGGGGAACATGGGCCTCAAGAAGAGCGAACCCTGGGCTTGAATAGGGTCAGGGAGTGGAGGGAGTGAGGCACAGGGCACCTGGGCAGGCCCCACCCATACCTGCCAGAAGTGTGACCACCAACACAGCCCACAGGACCGGCATCTTCCCGCCTGCCATTGGTCAGTCTGGGGGGGGGG